CAAAGAGGTGGGGAAACTGAAACCCTTCTAAGTTGCTTGTAGGAATGGCACAAGGGCTAGGGAAACAGTTTAGCAGTTCCTCAAAAAGTTAAACGTAGAAATGTCCTATGACCCAGCCATTACAGTCCTGGGTATATACACAAAAATACCAAAAAAAAAAAAAAGTATTCAAACAAGCTTGTGCAAGGATCTTTACAGCTTCCCAACAGCCAAAGGGTAGCTGCTAGGGTGGCTGGTGCTGCGGGCTGTGTAGGGATCCACGGACTCAGAGGGCACCAGCATAGACAAGGACTTAGGACTTACTCACTTTCCTTTGTGTTTGGAGAGGTTTTCACTATAGGGCACGTGCACTCGCCAGACAGACAGACAGAGACAGAGAGACAGAAGGTGAGAAATCACCCCCCAGGGGGTATGGCCACACCGCAATCCCTTCTCCTCCATTCTCCTCTCGGGATCTTGGGCATGCACGCACATGCGCCCGGCGTGAGTTTAAGCCACCAGGTCCAGGACTTGAACTGTAGTCAGCTACATGGGAGTCCAGCGACATAGCCATTATGCCAACTGCTGGTCCCAAATAAGGGCTGGTTCACTTTCTAAGAGAGGAAAGGGACCAGATGCAGAGGGTTTTGTTAGCCCTGAAGGGTAAGGGTATTAAAGGGTGAGGGGGTTACCCTCGGGGAGTCTAGGCAGCCCTGGAACAGAACATCTGCTGTCCTTGGGCTGCGAGGTCGCTCTCTCGGGGTACCCTAGCTGGCTGCTGCAGCCGGCCCTGTATTCTGTTTGTCCTTACTCTGGTGCCGCCCATAACAGGTGTAGCAATATTCGTGTCTGAAGGCAGAAACAGAAAAATAAGATTCATCTGAGATGAAGGAGAGAAAAGAAGGAAATGCCTGAAAGATATAGCACCTGGGAGTCACGAACGTGTCCTTGGGCACTGAAAAATGTCCTTTCCATGTTCAACCCAAGTGTCAGTCAACAAATGCCCCAGTAAACAAAATGTGGCATATACATACAACACACTATCTTCTCATCAATAAAAGGACTGAGGGGCCAGACAGTGGTGCAGTGATGACACTGCTCTGCGAAGCTGGCCCACCCAGGAAGGTTCTAGGTTTATGTCCGGAGACCTCTGCAGGACCTCCAGGCACACATGTGCCCATATCCAGGGCTGTCTGCGGCAGGGGTGAATACAGGCATGACCTTGTTGAGGGTGCTGTCTGTGTCTTTTGAAAAGAAAGAAAAGAGGGACCACCAGTTGGCGTAATGGCTGTGTCACTGGACTCCCATGTGGCTGACCACAGTTCGAGTCCCAGACCCGGTGACTTAAACTCACACCGGGCATGTGTGCGTGTGTGCCCAAGATCCTGAGGAGAATGGAGGAGAAGGGTTTGCTGGTGGCCATCTCCCCTGGGGGGTGATTTCTAGCTTTCTAGCTTTCTGTCTCTCTGTCTCTCTCTGTCTTTCTGGAGAGCGCATGCACCCTATAGCAAAAACCTTTCCCCCCACCAGGAAGAAAGAAAGAAAGAAAGAAAGAAAGAAAGAAAGAAAGAAAGAAAGAAAGAAAGAAAGAAAGAAAGAAAGAAAGAAAGCAAGCAAGCAAGCAAGCAAGCAATGAAGAATTGTGAAGGTACTAACCCTAACTCTAATCCAAGTTAGAGCCCGCGCCACCACACTCCTGTGGGACCTTGAGCAACCTGACCTCTCTGAGCCTCAGTTGCCTCCGCTGTCACACAAGGTCACGACCCAAGCCTGAGCACCTGGCTGGGCAGGGGACGACCACACACGTGCAGCTGCGGTGTCGACTCCTTATGGAAAGCAGATGTCCTCATGGGCCTCGGGAAGCGCAGCCCAAGCCCACGAGGTGCGGGACGGACAAGCGGGGTCCCCACTCCGCACGCCC